GAGTCCCCAAGGCATCGGGCAGTGGCAGCTGCAGGAGCGCTGTCAGGCAGAGAGCTTAGGGCTCATCTCGAAAGAGTAGAGAGGTTGTCTTCGCTCTCCACCTTCTTGGCCACTGCGGTGGGGCATGAGCTTGCTTGCACAGCCGACGTGGTGTGTGTGTAAAACTCCCTCTACCCAGCTGGAAATGCTTGGGAGGCAGGAAACAGGGCCTGGTGGCTGGCCTGGGGGTGAGTCCCCGGTGCTGCAGACAGCTCAGGGCCAGCCACGTGTCCTTCCAGAAGGCAGCTGGACAACTGGAGGGAGGAGGGCAGTGACGGAGTCCGCAAGTGATTGGAGGGGGCTGTGGGAGGCATGGAGGGGGCCATTGTAGAGGGAGGCTGGGGTTGTGTGGTCAGGAGAACAAGGACACTGGACAAAGGGTACCAGGAAGGTCAGGGCCAAGGTCAGCGACAGGAGTCAAGGGCAAGGGCAGGAGCAGGTCTCCAAGGCCAGCTCTGCTGGAGGTGGGACCCAGGTCTTACGCTGCTCCAGTTCCTTTCACTCCAGATATAGGAAAACGACCACCAAGCAGCATCATGCTGAGCGTGCCTGCAGCCCTGCATGTGCCATGTGTCCTCTCAGGGCAGCAGCCCTGCCTCTCAGTTCTTTGCCATCCCTGCCCACCAGCAGCTCCCGCGGGGCCTGGTGCTGAGCAGCCAGTGCTTACTGAACTAGCCAATGCTGGCAGGGATTTCGCCTGGGGGTGGCTTGGTCAGCAAGGACTCCAGGCCGGGAGTTGGCTCTCAGGGAAACCAAGGAAAAAAAAGAAGAAATAAACCCGGCATTCCTTCTGAGCCCATCCAGCGCCCGGTGCTGGGTACATTCTTGGGCATCATCATCATTTTCCAGATGGTGCGTCTGTAGACCTTCAAGTTCACAGCGCTGGCCTTGAACTTGGAGTTGGGATCATTCCTCCTGGCCAGCCAGAACCCCAAGTCGGAGAGATAGGTGGGAGGGACCTTCAGGGAAGGAGGCTGGGGGTGACTCTCAGGGGTCAGTACCCTGGGTAGAGGGTGGAGTGGGGGCCCTCGGGTCTGGCCTGTGGGTGCCGAGGCTCAGTGGCAGTCAGAGGTGGGGCCAGGGGCCTCCCTAGCAGGGAGGGAGGAGAAACAGCTGAGGACAGCACGCCGGCCTCTGCTCTGCACTGGCTGGGCAGCCAGCGGGGCTAGTGGGGGGCTGGGTTCTGTGGTCTTTGCAAGCCTGGGATGTGGCACCCCAAAATAACCCAAAACGAGAGACCCCTGAGGTGTGGGCCCGGGGCCTCCAGAAGTTCTGCCTGTGCATCCTTTCCATCGGGATGCCCTATGCTGGAGCAGGCAGCTTCCCTTTGGAGCTAGAACTTTCTGGGGAGCATAAGAATCAGTCCCTCTAAGTTCTGGCTCAAGAGAGGCTCATCTCAGAGAGGCTGTCCCTGCCACGCTGCTTGGAATCCCAGCTCTGGGTTTCTGCCTCCCCCCACTGCTGCCCCGCCTCGCTCTTCTTCGCAGCCAACCCCTCTTTCTGACTCACGCGCACTGCTTTGCGGACCTGCTGGTTCTGTCTGCCTCCCCCCGCCCCAAACACTAGCACCATGGGGCAGGAGCCGTGGCCTGTTTTGTGCTCTGTCTCCCCAGCACCTAGGACAGGGCCAGGCCCGTAAGAGGCACTCCACGGATACTTGTCAGCTGACCACACCTGCATGACACCCGCACTTCACTGTGACCGCCGTTGCTATTGCTGGTTCTATGTGACCAGGGCAGCGTCCTCAGCCTTCCTGGACCTGCACCTTCACCCATAAAGCGAGGTGGGCCCACTGGACAGTTTCTGAGCTTCCCAAACCCTGAGAATCCTAGGGCCCCAAATGCTCAGGGTCAGGGAAATTCCTCTGCAAGTGGACCCAACCCCTCGGTTTGCGGTTCTCAGCAGTGCTCTGTCAGGTCGGGAGGCCCTAACCCCACTTCCGATCCTTCTTTGACTCAAGATCAGAGTGAAGCAGGGGTGTGGGGCCGTGAGTCAGCCCAGTATTTCTGGCAATGGCTCCTGTTCAGATATTTGTGTGTTTTATTTTAATTGGGCTGATGTGTTGTTTCATAACATTTTATTGTTTTCAATAGAGGCAATTCATTGTGTGCAGAATTAAAAGTCATTTGATTTTAATTTCTTTAAAAGTTTTCAAGGAAAGGGACTGGCGTTGTGGCACAGCTGGTTAAGCCACTACTTGTAATGCCAGCTTGCCATATCCAAGTGCTGGTTCAAGTCCCGGCTGTTCCACTTCGGATCCAGCTCCTTGCTAATGCACCTGGGAAGGCAGCAGAAGATGGCCCATGTGCCTGGGCCCCTGCACTCACATGGGAGACCTGGAAGAAGCTCCTGGCTCCTGGCTTCGGGTTGGCCCAGCTCTAGCAGTTGAGGTCATTTGTGGAGTAAAACTCAGATCTCTCTGTCTCTCCTTCTCAATCACTCTGCCTTTCAAATAATTAAACGAACTTTAAAAAAAAATCATGGGGATAAGCCGAGTTCTAGAAAAACACCTGCCACACCACAGATTTGCTCTGATCTGGGATGGACCCACAGTCCTTGGTACTGAAGGTGTCCATTGCCCTGCCTGGCCTGGGACATCGCCTATGGGGACGGGATCACCCTAGCAGGGCTCGGGGCACCCTTACAGGACCTGCCCTGTCTCAGAATCCCCTCTCCAAGAGGCAGCTGGGAGCCCCAGAGGCTGCTGGGGGGGTAGTTTCAGGCCGAGAGGCAGCCTCACACCCCCAGGACTGGGTATTCGCTGAGTAACTGGGATGGCCCCGGACAGGGGAGGAGGGACAGGTCTGGCAAGTTCTGTGTTGTTTATACTACACTCAGGATTACCTCACACGTCCCGTCCCAGCCGGCTTCCCCGCCCCGTTGGCTGGGGGCCGGCCCTCAGCCCTGGAAGCCCCTTTTCCCCGAAGGCCCGGGAACCCAGGGGCCGACATGGGTCTTCCCCTCGCCGTCAGCTGAGCCGGGACACTGGCTGCCTGCTCGGAGACCATGGAGAGGGGCGGCCGCCCGGTGAGTGTGTCTGTGGGCACCAGGGAGCAGGGCTGGGACGGGGAGAAAGGTGGGGCGCTGGCACACTGTGCCACAGGTTCTCAGGGGAACTGGAAGTGCCTCGGCTTGTGGTACGCTGCCGGGGATCAGGATCTCCAGGCTCCTCTGATCATGGTTCCTGGAAGGAGCGCCCGGGAAGAGAAGCTGGAGGCTTTGGGCTTGGTCGGCGGGCACCCAGGGCTGACTCCTGGCCCCTGCCTGTGGTCCGTGAGCCCTGTGGTCAGGGCATCTGCGTGGTGAGAGCCCCGGCTGTGGGAGATTCTCACTGCCTTGAGGATCAAAAGCATTTTAATTGGTCCTCAGCGTCATCTCATCTCCCTCCCTCCCTCGGCTCCTAAACCTTCCCAGAAAAATAGGACTTTCTGTGTGCTTTAAAAGTGGATTTTCTTTTTTCCAGTCTTTCTCGATGATTTACTTTGGGCTTCATAGCCTTCGTGCTTGGGAAGTCCTCCCTTACATTTAACCACAATCCCTCTGCCAGAACTCAGGCTCCTTTCTTTGGGGGTGGTAGATGGCAGCCAGAGGGCCCTCCGAGGAAGGGCCAGGCAGGCACGTGGAGCCTCCGGGAGCTCGAGTTCCCGGTGCCTCTGCTCGTGCCTTCGCGGGAAGCCCGCCTGCACTCCCACTCCCCTGCGGGTCTCCTTTTCTGCTCCACTCCATGGTCTCTGTGCTTTGCTGAGCAGGTAAATCTGGGACTCTGGGAAGGATGGGCCAGCCCTGGGTTTGAGAAAGATCAGTGTACTCTATGTCCTGTGTATAGTTGGCTTGTGTCTCTTCTGAACCCCAGCTATTTTCTGCAACCTTTTCCATAATTTTCCCCACTGTTCTTCCAGCCCCCTCTTGACTTCCTCCCCGGGCTGCTGTCCCTCCTCTGCTCTGGTCTCCTGGGATCACGGCTCCTCCTGCCCAAGATCTTTGGGCCTCTTTGGGCCTCTGGTGAGCAGACAAGGGGCACGCCCGGGGTTTTATCTGCAGCATGGGGAGATGAGTCCCCCCACGGCCCTGGAGCATCCTCCCGAGTGCCCTGCCGGGAGCCTAAACATGATGGTCCCTGCACCCAAAGTGGGAGAAGGGTTGAGCCATCTGGGAGAAGGCTCTGCTCACATCAGAGGCAGACAGACGGTCTGTTCCTAGGGCAGGCTGAGAGCGAGGAGGCCCGCGCCTCTGTCCGGAGCTGTGCACCCACATGGAAGGTTACTGGAGGGGCACAGGGTGAGGAGCAGACTTTGAATTATTGATGGGGACTCCCAGTTCGTTTATGAATGAAGCGTTGAAGGAATGGTAGGGGCTGCGTTCACTCTGGAAGGGAGGTCATTGGTTCTTACCTTGGAATGAAAGAACAGAGCCATCACATCCTTATTCAAGGTTCTCAGATGTACCCCCTCTTTAGGGTGGGACCCCAACATAGTGAGCCTGACATACAGGCAGGGAGGGCTGGGGTTGGGCTCTCAATCTCCCGTGCAGCAGGTGTCTTAGACGGATGGAAAACAAGCAGGCTGGGAGCAACTCATCATCTCAGGCCGGGCTTTCCCGGGGCCTTTATTGGAGAGGCGCATTGTGGATTTGTCCCTCTGCTCCAAGAAGGAGTGAGGAAGAGGGTGGTCAGCAGCTGAAGCCTGGTGTGCCCTGTGGCAGCCGCTGGGTATGCAGAGAGAGCTTGGGAGAGAGACGGACTCAGCTCTCAGCTTTGCCACATTCAAAGGGAAAGCCACATGTTGTGGTGGACAGAGAACAAACCAGCTCCCGGGTCAGCATGGGTACCTCAGTTTCTTCATCTGTCAAATGGGATGATGATAATGCCAGCCTTAAGAAGCCTCGCAACAGGGTCTTTCATACAGAAGGCTTTTCTGGAACAGCATTCGGCACAGATGGATAGAGACACAAAGACATTCGGAGTGTTAGGATTTAGGATCTCCATCCTCATCACCATCGAGAGTCTATCCTTGGATCTAAATTTGGGCAAGTGTCATCTCTCCATGCCTCAGTTTCCCTGCCTACCAAAGAAGATGCTGGGACACAGAGTCCCCCAGGAGCTCCTTTCGGGTTCCATGGTAGTCTCCGGGGCTATCAGGAGGGATTACAGGTGCGTCATACTGGATATATGCGTTTGTTCTTGACAAATACTGCATTTGCTGGCTTTTTCATCTGGGCCCCATTTTTGCTGTTTCAAGAATTGTGGTGTGTATGCAAGAGCTGAAGTAGACTTGTTGAGAAAGCATCTACGCTTTGTAGAGAGGATTTTCTTCCTGGTCTTAGACTGGTAAGGGTTTTCATCGAGCCCAAGACCCTGGATGGGGTGGACTAGTGGGAGTGGCTAGGGGCCCAGGGCTGGTCCAGGATGAGGCACCCTCCCCAGAGGGGGGTTGGCAGATTCCTGAGGTGGCAGACCTGTGGGTCAGACCATAGCCCCCAAACGCAGGCACCCTTGAGACCCCTGGTGCCATCCCTTCGCATGTCGCCCTCATCTGAGACCTCAGGTTCACGTTGTCACCAGTGCTGAGCAGCCTCCCACCTGGCACGCTCCACTGTGTTGGCCCCTGGGACCCGGCAGGCGTGAGGGCAAATGTGTAGGAGTGTGTGTGCAGCACTCCAGGCCGGGCTGGGTGATGTAATAATGGCCACTTAGCTTAAGTGTCTTGTTTTGGCCAAAGAGCATCCTCTCAGTGCAGCAAACATGGAGGTGGATTGTGCCCAGCCAGGTGGGCAGGGTGCTGGTGGGGCAGACTTTGGCGACAAGGCCACAGGGAACCCGGCCTTGTCAGCCAAGTGGAAGCTCGGCAGCACCCCCGAGGAAGCCGGCCCCTCTGTGGGGGAGCCCTCTTTGTCCACCCTCCCTGAGCTGCACCGTCACCCAGCGCTGGCAGGGTGGGAAGACAGGGGCACGGGAGAAACGGAGGCAGCAGGTTCCTGGTGATCAAATCCAGCTCGCTTGGCGGTCAGGGGTACTCAATGCTCTTTGAAGTATTTGATGATGAATGAATGAATGAATGAATGAATTAGGGGGTGTTTTGATTCTGATGCAACAGGGATCTCCCAGGGTACAGGAGGCACAGTAAATTCACTCTAACACACCCAGGAGGTGCCGGCCAAGTTCTCTACAGCAGCTGCCTCGCTGATTCAAATGCAGTCTTATGTGGGGTCGGCTGTGTGGCCCTGCTCTGCTGGAGAGGGGGTACAGCTCAGTACCCCACCGCAGCTCTGCAAAGCACCTCTGGGGAGCTTGCCATGCTGTGTGGCACCTTGTTTGAAAACAGTCATGCAGACTCTTCTTTATAGGCAGAGGGACCAGAGGCTGGAGGAGAGCAAAGAGGAGACTCTCGCGGTACCCCGCCTTGGGGCAGGGGACGTCTTGTGAACTGGCTCCCTAGCATGAGCCCAGTGTGACTGCAGGCCGCCCAGGCCCCCGAGGCTGACACTGCATGTACGTGGGGGTGCTGGGTACATGGAGTGCAGGGATCTCACAGCCTGCGTTTCTGGGGATTCTCTCGGTTCTGGGAGGAGATGGGGGAGACAGCCTGGAGGCCCACGCTGGGATGAGCTCAGCCCCCCACCCCCAGCTGCCGGGCTCCCTGGGCTCTCAACAGGCGAGGGGGCCGGGCACCTCTTCATGCTTAGCCCGCCCCAGAGCTCTGGGGAGCTGGCTCATGGCCCCGCCTATGCCCAGCACTTTGAACATCAGGGTCATTGGGAATACAAGAAGCCACAGGGGCCAAGGTCAGTGGAAGGGCATTCCTTTAAGGGGGTAGGCAGTGGCAGAGCACAGCACTGAGAGATAGCCAGAGGTGACAACCCAGGGAGGGAACCAGGGTTCTAGTCCTGGCATGGCCTCCAACTGGCTGCATGACCTTGGGCAAGCCAGAGCCTCTCTGGGCCCTCATGGTCTCGTCAATGGGATACAGGGCTCAGATAAGAGGTTTCCAAAGTCCTTGCTGCTCCAAGGTGTGCTCACTGGCTCCTGCTCCCCAGGGTGTTGCCCAGGGCCCAGCAGGGAGGCTCAGTTTAGACTGGACTTGAAGGGATGCTGAGGTGGTGTCCTCGCTGTCACCACTGCCATGTCACTCTGGATCCAGCAGGACAGCTTTGCATGTGTCCCCCACTGCACACTTGGGATTCACAATGACTGCCACTCATCTTGCCCGGAGCGCAGGCCACTGCATGGCACCAGGGCTCCGTCCACAGGAGCAGCACAGAACCACTGAGATGAAGCCACCCCCAGAGCAGCTATGCTATCACCCCGCTCCTCCCTGGCATTGCTGGCTGCCCCAGGGGAGGCCAAGGGCAGGATGCCAACACCTTGACCTACTCCCCTCCCCCAGCAGGTGGGAGATCCCAAGAGACAGAGCCTCCATAGGACCCCAACCTCTAGAAACTGTGATACAGAGAGCACTGGGCTCAGAGCAGGAGGTCTGGGTTTTGTTCTAAGATAAACTTCAACAACTTTGGGCAAAGCACACTGTTTTGGGCCTCTGTGTTTTTTCTGGAGATAACAGCTCTTTCAACATCCCGCCATGGTTGGGGCTGAGGCTCAGAGCTGGAGGGAGGATGGAGCAGATGGCCCCACTCTGGATGCTGCTTCCTCTCGATGTCCCCAGCTGGCAGCCCTCGCTCGGGGCTTCAGTGCAAGACCTCCCTCTTGCCCTGGTCTCAGGGGCTGGCCTCTGTCCACCTGCCTCCCCCAGCTGATAGCAGAGTCAGGCTCTCCAGGACCACAGCTGAGTTGTCCCTGACCCAGAGCCTTCAGTCCCAGGGGAGTACTGCCGGTTCCGGTTACTCCTGCCCTCCTGGGTACCTGGCCACCCCCACCTCCTTCTCTGGGCAAATTTCCTCCCCCGCCTCTGGACCTCCCACCCTGGGGAACCTCTTGTCTCCTCCAGGCCTGGCTCCTTCATTCCTGGCCCCTTCGTCCCTGGCCACCATGAGTGGGTGACAGGGATGGATCACCAGATTCAGCTGGGGTGGAGACGGCCTATGCACTGGACGAGGAATGAGAGGGCTGTGTCACAGCCCTGAGCCTGCCAGCTGGTACAGGGCCCCATGCTCCTACTTAGTCCTTCTGAGGCCCAGATCCCCACGAACAAGGGAACTTCAAAGAGTGCATGGGGAACGTGTGTTAAGAAAGCTAGGTATGGATTTCAACCCAATTTGTCTTTAATTTTAATTTCAAAGTTTCAATTAACGCCTAATACCAAGTACAGCTGTGTGAACTGTTGGCATCAGGTAATTAGCATTTCCCTTCAAATGTTTCTTTGCACCAAAATAAAATTATCTTTAAATTCCATTTTCCATGATCCTTTGGAAGAGCCTTCTAACACACCAGGGGTGGGAACCTTGTAAGAATCAAAAGAAATAATGGGTGTGAAGCCTTGCAAATCATAAGCCCCTGTAAGAGAGGAGGTTTGTGCCTGTGGGCACCTGTGACACCACTGCCGGAGACTCAGCTTGCTCCTGGCAGCCTGGTTAGAACCCAGGCCCTGGAGGGGTGGGATCTGCCCATTTGACGTGCGTGGAGGGTCTGCCACTTGTCCAAGGTAACCCGGTGAGGCGGGGACGCAGATCTTTCTATTTCAAGCCAAGCATTCTTCAACCCACCCACCCACCCCCCCATCCCAGCTAATGTAACCAGCCCTGGCTGTGCAGTGGGCGCTTTGCATCCATCGCCGATGACTAGGGCCTGGTCATTAGCTCGGCCTTACCAATCAGGAAGCCGAGATGTGAGGAGGTGAGGTCACTTGCTCGGTGTCATGCAGCCCTGTCGGGTGGGGCTGGATTCCAGCATGGTCACTCTAGCCCTGCTGCTCCAGGTCACCAGGTTCTGCCCAATCCTGGCGGGCCACAGGGCCCAACCTTGATGCATGCTGGAGAGTACCATGAAACCAAGATCCTTGCAGGGACCCCCAGCCCTTCCCCCAGTTTCCCATGGTGCTCCTGACCCCATACGGTACCAGACCCGAGCTCACATGCCAAGGCCCAGGTGCAACATGGGTGCCCAGTGCACGCGTGTCAGGGAGAAGACTCAGCAGGAGGGTCTCCTTCCTACTCCACAGGGGCAGGGGACCCAGACGCAGGCTGGAGGTGGGATCCTGACTGTGTGGTTCTGCCGCCTGAGCTCAGAGCCTTGACTTTCTTTTCTGTGCAATGGGCTTCTCAAAGTACCGGTATCCCAGGGACGTGAGGAGGACCTTACGAGGCCGCAGATGTGAAAGTGTATCGTAAACTTGAAAATAACATATGCATGTGTGAGATTAGCATTTTATTGGCCTGAATCACGGGCATTCCCTGTTAAGCTGCGGCAGGCTTATAGGGAGAGCCCGGCAGGCCAGTGGAGGTATGCAGCGCCAGGGTATCCAGCAGGTGCCAAGGCTCAAGCCATGGCTGCTGGGAAGTACAAGGCCTTACATGGCCAGAGCTGTCCCTCTTATGGAAGGGCCATAGTCTGGCCTTTGTCCAGCGTCCTGTTTTCTCCTTAAGATGAGCTCATACCACCTGTCAGCCCCTTCAATGCTGTCTCGTGGCTGTTCGGTCCCAGCACGGGTAGTACTGTGTGTGCCCAGACCAAGGCCAAGAGCAGCAGCCAAGTCCCATGTAATGTGCCTGCTATGTGCCAGGCACCGGAAAGGGCTCTCCCAAGCATTATCAGTCCTGTTTTGCAGATGAAGAAAAAGGCCCAGGGAGTTAAGTGGCTGGCTCAGGGTCACAGGGCTCCTGAGTGAGAAACCCAGCCAGGACCAGGTCTGCCTGACTCGATGGGTGCATTCTCTACTTCCCTCTCTCCTTGCCCCCAGGCCCAGTCCTGCTCCACTTGAAGCTGCTGCAGCTAGCCTGTCTTCATTGTATGGCAATCTAGTCTCTGCCCAGGCGATGGTCATGAGAGGGAGCCCCCAGCTCCTGGTCAGCTAGGTCAGCAGCAGAAGCAAATGACCATCAGGCCCCTAAACAGACACAAGCATGCCCTGCACAGCCCCTGCACAGCCAGTGGGACATCGGGCTCATGTGTATTCCCGCACGTCCATCCATGAGCCCCAGAACCTGCTTGAGACTGTGCCTGCTCCTGCCTCTGGCAAGCTGAGTGTGGTCAGCAACTCAGAATTCCTGGAATTCGTCTCACAGCCCCAGAACAGGGAAGGGACCAAACCAATTACCTCCCACTCCCGAAGAAGGAATTTTAAGGATAAAGCCACAAAGTCCTACTTGGCACAGCTGATGCTGTTGACCTGGCCCACGCTGACCTTGTCCTGTGGACAAGGATTTTAATTGATCTGCTTAGTAACAGCATCAGATGCTTCCACACCCAGCAGTGGGTGAGGGATGGAGACAGAGGCGCCAGATGCCCTAGAGCTTTTTTTTTTCTTTTTGACAGGCAGAGTTAGACAGTGAGAGAGACAGAGAGAAAGGTCTTCCTTCTGTTGGTTCACCCCCCAAAGGCTGCTATGGCCGGTGGTCCCCACTGATCCGAAGCCAGGAGCCAGGTGCTTCTCCTGGTCTCCCATGGGGTGCAGGGCCCAAGCACTTGGGCCATCCTTTACTGCACTCCCGGGCCGCAGCAGAGAGCTGGACTGGAAGAGGGGCAACCGGGACAAAATCCAGCACCCCAACTGGGACTAGAACCTAGGGTGCCGGCGCCGCTAGGCGGAGGGTTAGCCAAGTGAGCCATGGCGCTTGCCCCACCCTAGAGCTTTTGTACCTTTCACACAGCCCTGTGGCCAGGTGCCCCAAGCGTGAGCACGGGGCTTCTTCTCCCATTCCGGCCCCCCCAAGAAAGCCAGTCAGTTAAGGTTAAGCCCATTGCCAGCTCAGCCTGCTGCTCGGGAGAGCAGAGACAGAGGTCAGTGACACCTGCTTATCTCCCCAGGAAAGCAGCAGGACTGCTGGTTCTTGAGTGCCTGCTCGGGCCAGCTCTGCACCCCACCAGGTACCCCTCCACAGAGGGCTCCAGAACCTAGTGGTTGGAGGGTGGTCTCTGGAGCTGATTTCCTGGGCTCAAACCCTGACTCTGCTACTTACTAGCTCTGAGAACTTGATCAAATTACCTAATCCCTCTGCCCCTGCTGCCCCCTGTGTAAAATGGGAATAATAACAGTTCCCACCTAACAGGGTTGTTAAGAGGATTAAATTTGTACATGCATACAAAGCACTTAGAGCCAGTTACTTCCCCTGTAACTCTAAATGAAACTACTAAAGGAAACTTGATAAATCATTCCGCCTACAGCTGTGAGGTTAAGGCTCTTTTCCAAGTGTGGCGGGGCCCAGCCTCCAGCCTCCACACCTTCCTCCCCTGTTCTTGCCTCTCCGGTCCCTGATGGGTTGGGGGGCCGGGTGTGCATGTGTGCACCTGTGTGAGGATTCCCCGCAGGAGGTGGGTCAGGGCTTTTCTGAAACAGTGCTCCGCCCACTTCTTGCCAACAGCCGGTATTGAGAACAGTGGTTTGGAATCTAACACACATGCAAGGAAGAACCGCATGGGGAGGCAGGGGCAGAAGTGAAGGTGCAGAAGGAGACCCAGTTCCTTGGTGTGAGGACTCAGCATAGGGTCCAGCCCAGCCGCCTCTTTTTTCGAACACCCCCCTAGACACACAAAGCCTGAGCAGGTGTCCCAGTCGCCCCCACCCTGCAGATGGCCCCTGCCCTTAGCCCACCTGTCTCTGCCAGCTTTTCTTTTCTTTTTAAAAAAGATCTGCTTATTTATTTTAAAGTCAGAGCTAGAGAGAGAGAAATAGAGAGAGAGAGAGAGGTCTTCCATTCGCTGGTTCACTTCCCAGATGGCTCAATGGCCAGAGCTGAGCCAGGCCGAAGCCAGGATCCAGGAGGTTCATCGGGGTCTCCCACATGAGTGCAGGGGCTCAAGGACTTGGGCCATCTTCCAGTGCTTTCCTGGGCCATCAGCAGTTGGATCGGAAGTGGAGCAGCCAGACTCGAACCAGCGCCCATATGGAATGCTGGCACGTTTTTCAGCTTCGCCCACACAGGATGATAGCATTGCCGGCCCCTCCATCAGCTTTTCTTTACCACCATGAAATTCCCGGGGAAGTAACTTTGCAAGGGGAAAAGCTTGCCTTGGCTCACAGTGGTGGAGGTTCCGGTCCAAGATGAGGCGGCCCCACGGTTGGGGGTCTGGTGAGGGTGCTGCCAGGCCAAGATGGAGCACGTGGAGGAAGACTGCACGGTGAATCAGGACGTGGAGAGCAGCTGGGCCCCAGCAGGTCTTCATAACCAGTCCTCCCTCCAGAGCGACTTCTGAAAACCTGCCCCTCATGTCCTAAGGACCCGGCAGGCCCACCTCCCTCCCAGACACCATAATCAGATTAAGCACCTGCCCTCTTAGGATCATCGAAACTCAAGTCTGCAGGGTGACTTCAGGGGCCAACTCCCATTCAAACCAGAGCACCACTCTGCAGCTCCTGGCGGGGCGGGGGGTGGGGGGGTGTGTGCTGTGGGAGAGCCGGGGCAGGAGGCCCTTTGAACTTTGGTTCTGCCCTTGGACGTGCCCTTCTTGGCGGGTGCTTCCTGTCTGGGGGCTTTGCTCAACCCCCAGCTGCTTGGCCCAGAGCATCCGTCTCCCTGCTGTGCAGGGCTCACAGCTTGGGTGGAGGGTGAGCAGGGCAGCAGCCTGAGGGACCCCCGTGCTCTGCCAGCAGAACGCTTCGCCGGTGAGGGCAACCCCGGCCCGGCCGTACCCTTCCAGGTCATCGTCGGACGGGTCATCTTCTGCCAGGTCGGCGTCCGTGACGTCCTCCCCAACGAGAGTGCACCTCGTTAGAGCAACACCAGTGGGGGCTGCACCTGTCCGGGCGTCTCCTGCCAGTTCAGCGCCAGCCACCAGGGAGGGCCCAGGTAAGGGGGATGCTGGGGTGGGGGCAGGGAGGAAATGACAGCTGACACTCAGGTGCCTCACACAGGGCACCCGAGACAGTGAGCAAGGAGGAACCAAGGGTGTAGGGAGCGAGCCGCTGGGCCCCCAGAGCCTGCAGAACACAGGAGGAGGCCCAGCCAGGCCACAGGGCAAACGCCCCCCAGTAGGGTCTTTCCTGGGTCTGCCCTGTGAACCTGCCAGGGAAGCTGTGTTCTGAGGTGCACAGGATCATGACCATTGGGTTCCATCTGTGGGTTCCAGGAGGAAAGGGAGGAATTCTGACCAGGCGGACATCTGGTCACCCCCAGCTTTCCAACTCTTGGTCTAATGGTTTGGCTACGAGGAAGTCAGAGAGAGCAGTGGGCTCCAGGAATGGCTCCACCCTTAAGGAAGCTGCTTCTGCCCATTCCAATGTGGCTGGCCTCCCAGCCCCGACTGCAGAGCATCCCTCCACCACAGTGCAAACAGGCCTGGTGATGTCTGTGTTTGGAGGATCACCCAAGGCCTGATGGGTGAATACTTTGGTGGTTGGGGGAGGCAGGGCTTTGGACTCGGGCACACTGCCACTCACTGCCTGAGTAATAACCTTGGGCAAGTTATTTCACTTCCACGAGCCTCGATTTCCCCAACTGTAAAATGGGCCTAATGAGCCTCCACTCACAAGCATGCAGTGAGAATTCAGAGCATGCGTGCAGAGTGCCTGGCTGGCCCAGAGGAGGTGCTGTCATCAGCCAGGGGTGTGGTTGTATTTGGGCTGCACAGGTGTTTCCTTTCCCCTCCCCCACCACGCTGGCCCCTCCCCCACGGCCTCACCCGCCCCCACCGCTGCCCTGCTCCTAGGTACCAGTGGGCCCAAGTTCTCCTGGCAGGAGGGCCAGAAGCGGCTGCCGCTCATCGGGTGCATCCTCCTCCTCATCGCCCTCGTGGTCTCGCTCATCGTTCTCTGTGAGTCGAACGGAGGGGTGGGGTCCTGGACATGGTTGGGGGAGTGGGGGACCACAGGCTGGGTCCACAGAGGGACACTCCTGCAAATGGCCTGGGATCACGGTGCTGCCCGGCTCCTGCGAGGTGGCCGGGTGAAGGGTGTGGGGCGTCACAGGTTCCTGGCCTGGGTCCCGTCTGTGCTACTGACGTGGGCAAGTGACTGCACCACTCTGAGTGCAGTTTCCACACCTCCAGGTGGGATCAAGCTCGTGCACTCCTTCAGCCTGCTCTGTGCCCCAAAGACCTCATCCCAGCTTCACTGGGTTAGGAGGAATAGATGGAGATGGATATAGGAATGGCCCCAAACCTCAGCCTGCGAGGGCTAGCTACAAACTGAACAGCCCAGTGTGAAAACACGGGGAAGCCCTGCAGAGACACTCGGTTAGTAAGGATAAGCCGCTCAGTGTTCAGGTGTCCAAGTTCTGTGTCGATCCCCCTTCTCTTGGGAAAAGATACACATGGCTCGCTGCTAAGGAGTCCTCCAGCACCCCGGCTCACGGGGCAATCGTAGGAGGAGCAGAAGTGACCACACATAGGCCCACCATGTCCTCAGGGAGACCACAGAGCTGGTCAGAATTCCAGCCACCTGCACCTGTGTGTGATGGAGGGAGATGTGACAGCTGAGGGCTGGGTGCAGGGCCCCAGGCGAGGACCAGGCAAGCAGTTAGGACCTGGACAGCCACAGGGAGTGTGGGAGACCAGGTGGGCAGGGCTGGCAAGGGGAGAAGGGACCTACCTAGGACACATTTGGGGACCAGGGGCCACTTGCCTGTTGGGTTCAATGAGGCCAGGGCTCGTGGCAGAGAGCTTTTACCGCCAGGCCCAGGAGTAAGGATTTTGTTCAAGAAGCAGCACCTTGTGGTGTAGTGAGGGGCCGGCTGGGCGGGACAGGGAAGCTGCCGGCTGGCAGGGCCCGAGGAGGAAGAGGACTGGGCGAGAGGAGGCAGGGTGCCATGCACACTGCCCAGGGATCCAGGCTCCGCACCTGCTGGCTGCATGACCCGCCAGTTAACGGCCTTTCTGGGCATCAGTTTCCCCACCCACTGCCCAGGCAATGGAGTCACTGTCACAGGGCGCGTGGAGGCCTCCACACCTGCCACATGGCATCCATGGGACACCCCCAGCTCGTGTTTGCCACCCAGCCCCGCTTCCTCACCACAGGACCCCCGCTCCATAAAAGCGTGGGAAGTGGCTCCTGGAGGGGCACACGGCACTCACAGGTGGGCTCGCCCAGTGGAATGATAGCTCTCAGGGCAGAGCTTCCAGCATTCCCTGTCGCGGGGCCTCCAGACCTCCCAGGGCCAGGGAGGTGGTGCGACTGTACAGGCTGCATAGCAGCTACATGGGTGGGGGGTTCAGGACTAGAGCCAGGCCCCTGCCCCTCGCCCCACCGCTCCATGTTCTCCCTTCTGCCCATCAAGGCCACCAGGCTGTGGGCTTTGTGAGCATGCTGGAGGGTCAGCGTCCAGGGTATGAAAGGGGAGAAGACCTGGAAGGGCCATCTCACAAGGCGGCCTTGACCTTGGGGAACCAAGAGCGTGAAGGGCCCAGTGAGAGTGGGGGCTGAGGCTGAGAGGTGGGAAGAGGAGCTGGAGCCCAGGCCTGTGGGGCGCCCAGGGGGAGGCGTCTCCGAGCAGTGGGGTGGCATTTCCCGGCCTGGATGGAGACTGGTGTTAGAGACAGAGAGTGGCAGGGAGCTGATCGCTCAGGTGGTTTGTAAAGTCGTTTTCTTCCAGACTCTGTGCATCCAGGAATCAGCTGCCTGGATTGCTCATGGAGTGAGGAGACTTTCAAAGCCATAAGACTGGCAGTGGGGCGAGGGCTGCACAGAGAGACACCCTTGCTTAGTGGAGAGGGAGGAGGAAGAACAGCCAGGTGCTTCTGGTGGGGGGGGGGTGGGGGGCAGAGAGGTCAGCCCAGGCAGTGTCTGTGTGACTGTGAGGATGGAAGTTCTCTGCTGTGGCCCAGCAGAGCACCGAGGAGGTGGCTCTGAGAGGGGGTTCTGGGGCAGGAGGTAGCCCCTCTGGCCACCACCTTGGCCAGCATGTAGGTGGAGAGGCCCCCGCAGTGCCACAGTGGTACCCACCTCCACCTCCCTCCCCACTCTCCTCTTTCTTTCTCCGGGGGGCTGGCTGCTCGTGTCTGCCTGGTGCTGCCCTGCCTGCAGGAGCTTTCTGGAGCATTCCAGAGCAGGCCTGAGCAGCCTTTCTCTCCATGCAGATGGGGGACGAGAGCCCCAGAGCTCAAGAGGGATCGCAGGTCGGTGTCTCCGAACCCCCAGGGCCTTGGGCTACTTACAGTCCTGTCACTGGGGCTGGCAGCGACCCAGGCTCTGCTTCCTTTGTTCCAGTCCACTTCTGGCGGGGCCACACGGGGATCAAGTACAAGGAGCCGGTGGAGAGCTGCCCCAGCCACACCGTTCGCTGTGATGGGGTGGTGGACTGCAAGCTGCAGAGTGACGAGCTGGGCTGTGGTAAGGAGGTGGGCATGGGCGAGCACGTGTGTGCATGTGAGTGTACACGTGTGTGCATGTGTGTCTGTGTGTGCATGCAATGTGTGCACTGTTTACATTCATTGCATGGTTGTGTGTGTGCATGTGTGTATGCGTGTGGCTTCAAACTGTGGTGCAAATTTGTGTCAGCACAAACAGGAGGCAAGGGACAGGGCGTCTGGAGATCTGGGTTCTACTCACAGCAGACTTGGATTTGAAACCCGACTTTGAGTGCTGTGTAGCCAGGATGAGTCGCTTACCTTCTATGGGCTTCGGTTTCCTATTTGTAAAATGAGTGGGTTGGACAAGGTTATTGATTCTCAAATACAATCTGACAGCTCCCAGACATCAGACTGAGCCAAGCAGAGCAGCTCTGGTAGGCGGTGGGTAGGGGGGCTGGAGCCCTTCCTCTTTGTCCAGCAGGTGGCCCCTGAGTGTCACCCCTACTTTCTAAAGAAATGAAGGCCTGTTTGTAAGCAGCGGGGCTCGATGTGCACAAAGATCGCTTTGCACTGCGGCCTTGGTGGGCTTTGAGTGCGTACTCTGGACGGCCCGCCTGCAGGTGCATATGCACTGTGCCTGCGCTGTCAGTGACTCAGCCTGGCCTGGGAGCGTCACAGATGCTGTCCTGTCCACCCGATCACTCTCTCGTGAGGGCACACCTCTGGCCTCTCAGGGCACCGCTCCTGCCAGAGCCTGCTCCTTATCCCAGCAGTGCCCCCCGCAGCCATCACCCCGGCTCTGCCTTGCTGACCGTCTCGGGCAGCTGAGAGCGGGCTGACCACTGCCACTCAGGCCAGCCTCCCAGTCCTCTCTCGGGTCTCGGCAAGGAGCCTCTGGACAAGAGGCCTCACTCAGCTCCTCCCCCAGGGGCTGGCTGGGTGCCGGGTGCTGAGCATCTGCCCTGCCTCTCTTCTTGCCCGGCAGTGAGGTTTGACTGGGACTCATCTTTGCTGAAAGTCTACTCTGGCCCCTCCCACCAGTGGCTGCCCGTCTGCAGCCACAGCTGGAACGACTCCTTCTCCGAAAAGACCTGTCGGCAGCTGGGTTTCAAGAGGTGAGCCTTCCCCCGGGGGGCCTCGCATTGCAAAGGCCTGGAACACCCGCACTGACCTCACTAGCTCAGGACGCTTTGAGTCCCGTGAGTCTGGGGCAAGCTGGTCCCACGAGGCCAAAGTAATTATTTGTGCAGCTGTAACAGTGTTAGGCCCCTGTGTGGTTCCAGCACCCTCGTGTCCCTTGCTACATTTAATTGTCCCATCACCATCCTCTCAGGTGACATTCTTGAGACAGGTGAGCACGGGACAGGCCTTATCTTTTTACATCAGGTTGGCCAAGCCCTTGGGTGGACTTTGAGTCATATCAGTCATGGTTTGGCTGGAGAAACTCACAAATGGGAACTGGAAAGGGGACAGATGTGGCCAGATCAAGTCGAAAGAATCTTGTGCTCTAGAGATTTTAAACCAAGAAGCCCGTGCTGGTGGGCAGGGCAGGGGAAAGGGAGAGCGATAGCCTTCTTCTTGGTGGAACCTGCAGTTTGCAGACCAGAAGATATCTTGCTCCTCCATCCTAGGTTGAGTGTTTTGAGGTTTTTCTTATTTTTTTGGAGACAGAGAGACAGACAGATGGAGCTTCCATCTGCTGGTTCACTCTCAAATGCCCACAAAGCCAGGGCTGGACCAAGCCAAAGCCAGAAGCTGAGAACCCAGTCCAGGTTCCCCATGTAGGTGGCAAGGAACCCAGTACTTGAGCCATCACCACTGACTCCCAGGATGTGTGTTAGCAGGAAGCTGAAATCAGGAGCAGAGCCGGGACGCAAACCCACACACTCCGATGTTGGATGCAGACATCCCAAGTGGCATGTCGGCTTCTAGACCAAGTGCCCATCTGAGATTTAAAGCTGAGTAGCTCTGGGGTTCACCCAGCTGTCTGAGGTCATGGGGCAAGGGTCCAGGATCTCAGCTGGGCTCTCTGTAGGAGAAGCACCTGGAAACCAGGAGCTGGAGCTGGGATGGGAACTAGTTAGGCAGCTCCACTGCCACCCAAGTCCATGGCAGGGGCTCCGAGGGTCCCAGCAGAAGGTCATGGACATCCTTTATCCACTTGTGCAAGTCTGGGTCTGCCTTGAGCATTCCATCCTCTGAATGTCGTTTATTCAAAGATAACTCACTGAGCTTTGACCAAGGACCAGAGATTGTGTGGTACCCAGACACAAAGGAATAAGACAGGATCCCTGGAAGACCCTCCAGTATTGGGTGGGTGAGAGAGGCTTAAACTAACAATGCTGTGTGACCAGAAGGATGCTGGGAGCTGGCACCACGGCTCACTAGGCTAATCCTCCGCCTTGTGGTGCCCGCACACCGGGTTCTAGTCCCAGTCAGGGCACCGGATTCTGTCCCTGTTGCCCCTCTTCCAGGCCAGCTCTCTGCTGTGGCCAGGGAGTGCAGTGGAGGATGGCCCAAGTGCTTGGGCCCTGCACCCCATGGGAGACCAGGAGAAGCACCTGGCTCCTGCCTTTGGATCAGCATGGTGCGCCAGCCACAGCGCGCCAGCCACGGTGGCCATTGGAGGGTGAACCAACGGCAAAAGGAAGACCTTTCTCTCTGTCTCTCTCTCTCACTGTCCACTCTACCTGTCCAAAAAAAAAAAAAAAAAAAAGGAGGATGCTGGGGATGTGAGGATGTGAGGATGCACAGGATGGAGAAGGTTCCCAGCTGCGCTCCCAGAGAGAGCACGGAAGAACTGAGCCCTCCGGGAAGAAGAGCACCACGTGCAACGGCCTTGTCTCATGCAAGGGCACGCCCTGTCCCAGAAACACGAGGGGAACACGCCAGAATCCCCCGGGGTGCTCGTGAAAATGCGCCCCTAAATCAGCATCTCTGGGATCAGGACTTGGAACCTGCTTAGCCAACAGCCAAGGCCAGTCTCAGGCTCACTGTGCTCTCAGAATCACCAGCGTGCTTATCCAAAGGTTCTCAAACTTTCCTTTAATTAATCACACAATGAATTAATTAAAGAGGCAGAGAGAGAGAGAGAGAGAGAGAGATTGTTTATCTGCTGGTTCACTCCCTAAATGCCCACACTAACAGGGGCTGAGGAGGCTAAAGCCAGAAATCAGGAATGCTACCCAGGTCTCCCATGGAGGTGGTGGGGACCCAACTACTTGAGCCATTGCCTATGCCACCCAGGGTGGGCATTAGCAGGAAGCTGGAGTCAGGAGCAGGAGCTGGGAGTTGAACCCAGGCACCTCGAGGTGGGATGTGGGCATCGTAACTACCAGACCAAGGCCTTCTACAGGTTCTGAAACTTTAATATGCAAATCAACGACCTGGTGACTTTTTCAATGCAGATTGGATTCAGTGGGTGTAGGGTGATACAGCTGTTGCTGGCACATGGACAACAGTGTGGATGGAAAAGGCCGGGCTGGGGCTTCTCAGTTCTGAGCACGCCCAGGCATCCCCTGGTGAGCCTGTTGAAACACAGACCGCAGGGCCCGCCCCAGAGTTTCCGATTCACTCGGCCTGGGATGGGGCTCGCAGAGTCAGTCACCTTTCTAACAACTTCCTAGGCTACGCTGATGGGATCAGACTCTGAGAACTGCTGAGTCAGTACGTAGGGCAGAATCCAAGGCTGGGCTTGGTCGGTGTGGAGCCCTGACAGCTGTTCGGGACAGTGGTTATCATCCAGCCCACCGCAGACAGCCTCTGTGGATAGGGCCGGCGGGGACTCTGACACCAGCTGGGGACCTGGGTGCACTGTCTCCATGGACTCATTCTTCTGCCCCCCACCCCCACCCCGCAGTGCTTACCGGACCACCGAGGTGGCCCTCAGGGACGTTACCAGCAGCTTCTCTGTTTCTGAATACAACTCCACCATCCAGGAAAGCCTGCACCGGTATGGCAGGGTGGGTGGGCCGCACTGCACGCTCATGGGCCGGGTATTGGGAGGTGGGCGGGGAGGAGGGCCTGGAGTCAGGGACCATTCTCTTTTGGCCTTCCTGGACCCTCCTGCAGGAGTCTGGGAGGAATGCTCAGGCCTCACTGACCACGCTGCCTCCTGACTGCCAGAGTCTTAAGGGGCCTTGGGGCAGACCAGCCCCTCAAGCTCAGGGGCTCCCCAGGAGTGTACCTGGCTGTCATAGACAACAAGCAAAGCTTGGGGCCACCTGTCAGCCAGGGGTCTGGGCTGAAAGCTTCCACAGGGTGGAGTGGGGTGGAAGACTGCCGGGTGAGAGAAGTCAACCACGGGGAGCCCATCTGGGGGGCCCGGGCCTCTTGCTCCTCTGCCATCTCCGCTCTGCAGCCCCTCCCTCAAGAGGGGAGCATGGGGTGCCCCCGCAGCAGCCTTGTTTACCTCGTGGGGGCAGAGAGCAAGCAGGGCTGCAGACGAAGGGGCGGTGAGGGACAGGAAGTGAAGCAGCGACGTCCAAGGATGGCTCTGTGCAAGGTGGGCTTCACGTGCTATGCTGAGGGGCCACCCCTCTAGCTGTGCAGTGTTGCAGGGACGAGGGAGTCCTGGGTTCAGAGAACCTGGAAAGACCAATGTACACCGTCCACTGCAAGGAACTCAGGCGGGGAATGGGAGGTGGAGATGACGTGCACTGAGCTCCCCCCATTGCTGAAGCCAGCACTTCCCTGTCCTACAGGGGAACAAGGTCAGAACCTCCACTTTCTTGCACCAAGAGGGGCTTCCTTGGGAACGGGATAGGAGCTAAGCAGGAGTCAATCAGAAAGACCGCTTGGAGGAGGTGGTTAATGTGCCCCTTTCCCACCTTCCCTTCTCCTCCTGCAGGTCCGAATGCCCTTCCCAGCAGTACGTCTCTCTCCAGTGTTCCCGTAAGATGCTCTTCTTCCTGCATTGTGGCCATGTGGGTTGGGAGAGTGGGACAGAGGGCTGGAGCAACCTCTCTGAGAATGATGACTGGCCGGGCTGGGGGTGGGGGTCTAATCCAGGAAGGGGGCATAACCAGCAGGTTTGTTTCAGGGCAAGGAGCCCCATAAGGTGTGGGGCAGCCAAGGGTAACTTCCCCTGCTCCTAGCACGGGCAGCCCAGCAAGCTCTCTCATTCCAAGAGGGCCCCTTGAAGGCTTCCTGGATTCCAGGCAGGGACCAGGGGCTGGGATAGCACCTGCTGCTTCAGCGTAAACCTTTAGGACCCGCCGACAGGGAGCTAGCTGCAGACCTGGCTCTGGAGCCAGCGCTGACGGAGCCTTTGGGTGCTCAAGGCACCCAGCCCATCTTTTTACAAACAAGTGCATTTAATTCCTACAACAGCCAACCGAGGCAGCTGCCAGGACTGAAATGCTTGCTTTGCTTAAGGTCAGACCACTGGTAGGGGGAGCTAGCATTCAGCCTAGGCTCTGGCCCTGAAGTCCGGGCTGCGACCAGCCCCACAGGTCCTGTGTTCTCAATAATGCCTGTGGGCAGTGCCAGGGGCGGCGGCTGCCCATGCCTCAGGGTCCCAGGGGCTGCTCACCCTCTGCTCCCTTCAAAGTGACAGGGACTCGTGTCTGAGCAACACTCCAGGGGCCACCCTCCTGTCGGTGACTTCCGCAGGGTGACGCCCTCCAGGACAGGCAGGGACAGCTCCCTTGGGATGAAGCGCTCCCAGTAGCACTGAAGGAGCCTCTGGAGCCCTGCGGGCACAAGCCCACCTGTGCAGCTCAGCTTTGTCTCTCTGCTTTTGAAATGGTTGAGAGTCTCATGCCGATGCTCAGCCATGCAGGGTGGTGTCAGACTCAGACCGGGTGGCGCCACGGGTGAAGCCGCCACTTGTGGAGCCGGCATCTGGTACTGGAGCTCCAGTTTGAGTCCGGCTGCTTGTCCCCAGTCCAGCTCCCTGCTAATGTGTCTGGGAAGGGGCCAGAAGATGGCCCAAGCGTTTTGAGTCCCTGCCCTGCCCCCGACATGGGAGATCAGACTAGAGTTCCCGGCTCCTGGCTTCCGCCTGACCCAGCGTGGCTGTTGCGGCCATGTGGGAAGTGAACCAGCGGATGGAAGATGTTGCTCACTCTCTCGTCCTCTCTGTAGCTCTGTCTTTCGAATACGTCTTTAGAATCGGTCCACTTTCCTGAGCCCCTGATCACAGCCCCAGGCAATCTCCATCAAAACAAACTCCCCATGAATGACCCGAGAGCTACCTGCCAGGTGATGGCTGTGCCTGGCGGGAAGCAGCCACACTCCAGCAGGTTCAGTGAGCCAGGCCATGGGTGGTTTTCAGCACAACGCTGGGCCCAGGGAGTGTGGCAGAGGCTCTGAGAGAAGCCACATTCACGGCTGGTCACTTCTGCTTCCCCCCTAGACTGTGGACTGCGAGCCATGACCGGGCGGATCGTGGGAGGGGCGCTGGCCCCCGAGAGCAAGTGGCCTTGGCAAGTCAGTCTGCACTACGGCACCACGCACATTTGTGGGGGCACGCTCATCGACGCCCAGTGGGTGCTCACCGCGGCCCACTGCTTCTTCGTGTAAGTGCCCGAGGTGGCGGTGACTCCTCAGGTGTCGGCAGGACAGGCTGACCACAGGCTGGCCTCTCTGTGCAGGAGCTGGGGGTGCCCAGGGGCCAGCCAGGGCAGGTGAGGCTGGAGTGATCCTCTGAGGGCCGGGATTGGCAACTGGGGGTGTGATTTGTGGATTAGGCCCAAAGATGAGAAAATGCCAGTGATGGCCCTCATGAGAGGGAGACAGGTGGGCAGAGGGACTTGGGAGCCTGCCCCTGAAGAGCAGAGAGAAATCAGAGAGCTTTGAGTTGGTTCCGGCCTCCTGCAACTGGAACTTGGAGCAGAGGCGCGTGGGATGTCAGGAACATGGTCCCAGGAGCTGAAGGACAGGGCAGAAGGGAGGGAGGTGCTGGCGGGAGACCAGTGCCATCAGCTTCTGAGCCAGCAGCCAGCCTTGTCCCCTTGGCGGCGCACAGCCCCGTGTGAAGCAGGAAAGGGCTCTGGTCCAGGCCGCAGGAGCACTGGCTTCCCCAGCATAAGCCTTCCCTGGGCCACGGACCCCATCTCGAGTTCTACAGCTGGGCTCTGTCCCCACCACTTCCTCCGATCTTTGGAGATGTGAGTGGAGGCCCCACCAGAGTGTCCCTCCCTCAATCTTTAGTGATGTAAGCTGCAGACTGGCCCCCTCAGGGCCGTGGGGCATGGAGGGCTGCTTTGGAGTCCTGGGGTGAGAAGGAGGGCTCCCTTCTGAGGTGGTCCCAACCATCCTTGTGTCTCCAAACTGGTGCCTGGGCTGCCGCTCCCTGGGTGTCGCCAGCAAGCTCTGCCAGGCGGGTAACCGGCCTGTGCTCTCCTGCGGCTCTTGCAGAACCCGGGAGAAGATCCTGGAGGGCTGGAAGGTGTACGCAGGCACTAACAACCTGCACCAGCTGCCCGAGGCGGCCTCCATCTCCCAGATCATCATCAACGGCAACTACACCGACGAGCAGGACGACTACGACATCGCCCTCATGCGGCTCTCCAAGCCCTTGACCCTGTCGGGTGAGCGACTCTGCCCCCACTCCACTGGGGCACCCTCGGCGGCCCCTGCACTTGGCAGCATCTCTCAACCTGCCCCAGGACCCCACAGCCTCCGCAGAGCCAAGGTCAAAGACTCCTAGAGATCATTACTTGGAGCCCTGCTATTTTACAGTGGGCGAAACTGAGGCCCAGAGAGCTGGAAAGAAGTTTGCCCCAAATGACACAGCTCGAATGGCAAATTGATGACAGAGCCAGGGCTTGGACACTGGTCTAAATCATTATAAATGGATTGAATTGTTTTGCTAGTATCAGCTGAGCACTTAGGGTCAGGCACTGGTAGGCATTTTACATACATGATTGCATTGATCCCTCCCAGCCAACCCTGCAGAGCAGGTCCTATTAATAGCTTCATCTGACATAAGAGGAAGTGAGCTTCAGAGAGAGATAATTGCCCCGAGGCCACAGGTAGGAGGGGGCAGCTCCAGGATGGGATCCAGGTTGGTCAGACTCCCAAGCAGTGCTCTGCCCACTCGGCTACAGCCAGCAAGTTCTGTGCACTGGGGTTGAGAATGTGAGCTGTGTCCACACTCATCTAACAGCCGCACAGGTGAGCCAAGAACCAAACGAGGCTTTGCACAGGAGCTGCTACAGAAGTAGACACGGGGCATCAAAGAACCTTCCTCCCTTTATTCGTTCCCCGAGCAGATCCTTACTGTGTGTCTACTAAATGACAGGCTTTGCAGTTGCAATGACAAACAGAACAAACCTGGCAGCAGGTAGCAAGGGGGAGTTGGGGTGGCGCAGGTGAGGTCATGGCAGACTGAGGGTGGCTTGCCCAAGAAAGGCTGATGAAGTCAGGCAGGAGGGACCCTGGGGAGCCCCTGGAAGAATGTGGCCAGGGGCCTCTGGCATAAGCCGGGTTGTTCAGGTAGAGGAGAAGGAGGAGAGTGGGGATTTCTGGAAGCCTTGACTGGCTCTCTGGTTAGTCCTGCCGTTCTTGTGCCCTGCGCCTGTGAGCTGGTGTTTCCTGGCACATTCATTACCCAGGCGGTGCTGCCATGAGTCACAATGGTGAGCTCATCAGAGTGGGGTGAGGAGGAGGATCCTCTGCAGAGCAGGGCCTGGGCAGGGCAGGCCACACCCCCCGGGCAGCCACACCCTCCAGCCTGGTCTGCAGAGCTGGGGCTGCGAGGTGAGGAGTCCCCCACTCAAGCTCTGGCCCAACTACAGGAGGACAGTCGGTCTCAGTCTTGTAAACCCACATTCCTTGTGGCTAAACACCCAGATCCTACCTCTTACCCACTGCCAAGACCCTCAATATCATTTGGAACTCTAAAAACAAAGTAATTTCTGAAACCAAGCGAAAGCTATCATTACATTGCAAATGCCTTTTAGGGCTGTCAGTCCCGCCCCAGGCTGGAAGCAGACCGTTCATTCCAGAAGCACAGCTCCGATTCGTGTCAGACCATGTGCCCTGGCTTTTGGTTCAGAAATCAGGGCAGATTTTCTATAACTCATGTGGCAGGCCTAGCACCTGGAAGTCACAGCACTTTCTGGGAAAATGTGTGAAAACTCACTGATAAATTTAATTCCCCACACAAGTGAGTGAAATACAACAGAATGCTTAGCGGTGGTACGTGTTTTGAAGACTGCATCTCAAAAAACGATGTAGACTAGAAATCGAGTTTTGCCTTTTTTGTGAATAATGGATTTTATCCCTTTGTTTATGTTTTGTTTATTCTCTAGCAGACAAAACATAGAAACATAGATGTCAACCTTTAAAACCCAGTTTATAAAAGAATTTAGCATTCTTCCCTCCCTGCGCCTTCTCTTCCTCTCTCTCTCTGTATCTCTCCCTCTCCCTCTCTCTGTATCTCTCCCTCTCTCTCTCTGTATCTCTCCCTCTCTCTCCCTCTCTATCTCTCCCTCTCTCTCTCTGTATCTCTCCCCCTCTCTCCCTCTCTCTCTTTCTCTCCCTCTGTCTGTCTCTCTCCCTCCCTCCCTCCCTCCTTCCCTCTCTCTCTGTGTTCACAGAACCAGACGCTATTCTAGGAGCAGGACGCTGCAGTAATGAACAGTTGAGGAAGCAGCAAGCGGCCTGTCCGCGTTTGCCTTTTCCAGACGGGAGTCTGGTGGTCCACGATGACCCATCCAGGGACACCGCTCCCTGGGGAGAGTTTATGAGCTGGTCCTCGAGGTCCCCGTCTCAGTGTTTCTGGGTGTGAGAGCAACTTCCCTGTGCTTTTGTGGTCTTGGCCTAGGGCTGTGCCCTCCTGCTTAGGGAGGTATCTGGACCCGATCCAGGTGAACATTTGCAGGGAGAGCCCCGGACCCTGGCCAGCCAGCAGGTTGCCTGGCTGAGAGGCCACGGTCAGCATCCAGGACTTAGTGTGATGCTTTTCTTTGCTCCAAGGGAAAGGCATGGAGGAGGCCCAGCCAGGAGAGCCGAGCTTGTGGGGAGAGACCTGCAGTAGTCAGGTGTTTGCTTGGTGTGAGGGAGCTACCAAGCCTCTGTGTGTGCCCGCCCGGCAGCGACTCAGATCAGCATGGTTCTGGAAATCTGACTGGGTGGTTAAGATAAGGTGATGGGTTTAGGTTAGGGTTAGGGTTACTTGCCTGGTGGAGACAAGGACTTGGAAGATTCAGAGCCACTCTGGTGGCAAGAAGGGCTCCTAGGACATCAACACGCTTGCTCCCCTGTGCCCTGTCGCCCGAATCCCTCCATCCTTGTCCTCCACTGACATCTGGACCTCTCACGGCAGCTCACGTCCACCCTGCCTGCCTCCCCATGCACGGACAGACCTTCAGCCTCAATGAGACCTGCTGGATCACAGGCTTTGGCAAGACCAAGGAGACAGACGGTGAGAGCAGAGGTGCTGCGCTGTGTGTGTGCGTGCGTGTGCGTGCACGTGTGTACATGTCAAGGACGACGGGTACACAGATGAAGTCTATGTAGGTAGGGGTTTGGGTGGATAAATTCATGGGCTGCCTACAAATGTGTGTGGATCAACTCCCGTGTGTCTTGTCAGCGCAGTTGGAGTAACAGTGCCCTCTAGGCAAGACCACCTGGAGGACCTCTGCAGGTGCACAAGTTGGATCTGAGGCTCACTGCAGCGTGGGGGAGGGGGAACCCACTACGGAGAGCCTGGACTGTCTAGATAAGGTGCTCGGAGGGTTCATCACAGCATTGGGGGGCTTGGGGAGATGTGGGGCTTTTCTCTAGACTGGATGTTGTCACGAATCCGGGCAACTGTTTAATGGGGAATCTGAGCCCTCTTTTCTAGAAGGAGGGAGGGCTCCCAAGTTGTGATTGCTCACCTAAAAGCAGGCCCATAGGGTGTCAGCGAGAGGAAACATGGGGTGTTTCTGAGTTGAGCCTTGCGACCCTGTTTGAAAAGGCTGCCACTTTGCCTGGCTTCATCAGGGTCACAGGGTACTCTGTGGGCTGTCGGTTCTGTAAGAGCCATCATGTTCCGCCGGGGACTCAGGCTGGTCGAGGGGGCAGGGTTGCTTTTCTCTGGCTCTGGGTGATGGGGTGGACACAGCCCTCTTCCGATCCGGCTTCCATGAGAGCCCAGCCACTCGGCTGCAGGCAAGGCACTTCTTTAGCACCAGGTTTCCCCACCTGTGAGTGGACAGATAAGCCCCACCCTCTGTAGGACACCTGGCATCTAAAAACCAGTGAAGTGCTAGCCGCTATGGTGCTCTGAATGTATGCGGGCATGGTGCCACCTGTCAGGGAGCCGGGGAGCTCTGCAAGTGTGTGCTCGTGTGTGGCTCTGTTTGATGCACAGTGAGTTGTGTCTGGCACAGGGGTGAGTGTCCATGTGTCCTGGTGTCCAACCACACAGGGCCTCCTTGGGCTGGGGCCATAGGCAGGATGCCCTCTGCTCCCAGGATGCTGAGCCCCGGTCCTGGAGGGGCAGCTGGAGGTCCAGAGTCTCATCAGCTTCCCGCCCCCTCTCCCCCACTCCCACCGCACTGAAGAGAAGACATCCCCGTTCCTCCGGGAGGTGCAGGTCAACCTCATCGACTTCAGGAAGTGCAATGACTACCTGGTCTACGACAGCTACCTCACCCCAAGGATGATGTGCGCTGGGGACCTGCGTGGGGGCAGAGACTCCTGCCAGGTGAGGCTGCTGGGGGTGGGAGAAGGCTGGCATGCTGGGGTTGATGTGTGGACCGGGGTCACACCCTTCCCAGTCCAGAGTTTACCTGTGTCCACCCCAGCTGATGTGCTCCCTCCCCTTACAGGGAGACAGCGGGGGGCCTCTTGTCTGCCAGCAAAACAACCGCTGGTACCTGGCAGGTGTCACCAGTTGGGGCACAGGCTGTGGCCAGAGAAACAAGCCCGGTGTGTACACCAAAGTGACAGAAGTCCTCTCCTGGATTTACAGCAAGATGGAGGTGAGGGCCTAACACAGGCTACTGTGCCAGGCAGCCTGGGCATCCCTAGAAACAACGACCCCAAAAGGGGGCCCAGGCCTTCCCACGGGTACAGGCAGAGGTGTTCTGAGCAGGGTCAAGTGTTGGGTCTGCTGTCTGTCTTTCCCTCCGAGCAGAGCTCAGAGGGTGGCCAAAGGGTGAGCTGAGACTGATGCCAGCCCCCCTCCACTGTCCCCTCTCCAGCCACCGAGGATGGACTATGCCAGGAGGCCTCCCTCCTAGGCAGGAAGAGCAGCCTTGGAAATGGGATTTGCCCCCAGCTGGCTGACCCAGCTCCACCCCTGCTCATCTCAGCTGTGAAGCAGGGAGTGCGATGCCCAGCCCTTCCCTCCTCTGCCTGTGGTGAGGGCAGAACAGGGCGGAGCTCTGAGGGGGCTGCAGCTGGAAGCTGAGCGCAGCAGCGGGGCTCTCATGATGCTGCCCTTCCTCTCAGAGGGGCGGAGCCGGCAGACAGCTGGGCTGGGCATCGAGGCGGGGGCCTCCTGCTGGCTTCTGTGTTCCCTGTCAGTCAGCCCACCCTCACCACACTCTCCTGTTTGTTTTCCTCCTAGAGTGAGACGCGCTTCCGGAAATCCTAACCAGTGTCCTGCCCGCCACCCCCCTACTCACAGCACTGGCTGCTGGGAAGACTCCGGCCCAAGGGCCCTGGCCATTTGCAACGTCTTCTGGACACCTGTGTTACTCCCCCCTCCACCATGTGCTGCTGTGTGTGAGTGTGAGCAAGTCTGAGTGCGAGTGTGTGCACATGTGTGTGTTGCTGCTCTTCCAAGTTCTACAGGAACCGGGAGAGCTGTTGCTCCCCCCAGAATCCCAGGCATTTTCTGCAGATGAGGGTCTGGGTACCATGATGTTCCCACAGAAGTGTCCACAGACAAACAGAGGAGAGTCCAGAGAAGGGCCGGAAGGTGACATCGGCAGTTCCTGCTCCTCTGACCCTGACTAAGGGGCCAGCCCAGAGTGGGCATCACCCCTGCAGCGCTGGTGACACTGTTGCTGTCCCAGAACAGATGAGGGGCTTTGTTGGAGCGCTGGCTTCATGGTGCCTGGACTGTGCTTAGCAGGAGGCCCTCAGTGTTGTGAGCACAGCGCCCCCGCCCAGCCGTGGTCCAGAGCCAGGCAGCGCTGTGGCCCACCACGCTGTCAACCGTGAACAGGGTCCATGGTACCTGTTTGGTCACAAACTGCTGGCACAGGGTTTATTTTATTTTTATATTTAAGAAATGCAAACATGTATTTTTGAAGCGTCTCCAAAATCAGTCGCCCCAAGAACTCTATGGGACTCATACGACTTGTGCCCTTCCGCAGCCCTACAAAATGTTGCTGGCTTCGAGGAGCGGGCTGAAGGGACTAGAGGAGTCCCCCTGCTGGAGAGCCAAAGTCGGCCTCTGTGAGACACTCGGGGAAGCAAACCCGCGTCTGGGCGGCCGGCAGACCCAGCCCAGGGAGAGCGGCTCTTCTGCATGCCAGGGCTGCAGGCTGCTCCTGTGCAGGCCCCCAGGAGCCCCGGGAAGTCCAGGTGGACAGCTCCCTCGTGCCCGGGGCCATCCTGGGACATGGGGGTCTCTCTCAGCTTTCTCCGTCTTACGCTTTCTTAGCTATTCCAGAAACATGGCCCTGCCATGGCCCCTGCCGTGGAGAGAAAGCTGAGCACTGAGGCTCAGAGTCAGCGCTCCTCCCGCCAGCCATCAGCGTGGCTGGCCTCCTCGCCATGGAGGGTGGGCACCTTCCTGGCCTTTTGTCCGGGGGTGCCCATACCTCCCTAGCCCCACTCTACTCCCTCTCTGTGGGTGTCTAGGCCCAGGCACTGCCTCAGATGGGGCCAGGGACATTGACAATTGTCACCAAGGCCAGGGAGGGGGCAACACTCATGTCGCGACAGTCCCCCAACAATGGTCTTCTGCAATAAAATTGTGGGACCTGAAGAACCTGTGGTCGGGTGTTTTACTGGTGCCTTTGGTGGGACGTAGAGCTTTCCTGCCACCAGCCCAGGCTCTGAGTTGGGGTGTGTTCTCTGCATCATTTGTTCTCCAGCCACATCAGGGCCCTCTCTAGGCCGGGTACTCGCGCTAGGTTCCGGGGGCACATAGAGCACAATGGTGTCCTCAAGGAACTGGCTCATGACCAAGAGTGATGGAAGCTGATTCAGTGTGGATGCTCTGAGTGGAACCTGGAACAAAGCAGCCACGCCTAGAGAGGCCACGGAAGGCTTCGCAGCGGAGGCGAGGTTTGAAATGAGACTTATGTGAGCCTTCGCAAAGCACAGGGCGGGCCTGGCAGGCCGCTCCTTCCTCTCTCCCACCTCTGCCTTTGCTGGCTCAGCAAGAGGCCTGTCTACAAGGAAGCCCCAGTGCTGCACAGCTGTTTCCAAGGGAGTGGGTGGGCGGAGCTGTTGCCCTCTTCTGAAAGATCTCCCCCTTCTTGCTCTGCACTTGCTGTCCTTGACCCCGGCTGTATGATCCACCAGTGAATGTCCAGCTCTCAGCAGCGCCAGCACTCACACTTACGCCTCCAGCTGCAAGCTTAGAATTCTCCAGGTCTGGCCTTTGGGCACCTCGGGTTTGTTTTGGCCTCTCACATCCATGCCAGAGCAAATCCTTCCTCCAATTCTTTCCTCGGCCAGTTGCACAAGAAAGAGTAGGGGAGGTGGCTTCCCAGTTGGGGTAGCACTTACCTGCTGTCATAGATCCCACAATCCCAGTAGCCTAGCCCGCTGTGGGACTAGAGTGCCGGCGTGGGCTGGTTCCTATGCAGGAGTGAGCACTGAGCAAGCAAGACTGCCAGGCAGCTCTGCCCACGGCAGGAAGCCGGCTGCATCGGCAGAGGCCGGGCCTGGGGCAGAGCGGCGGGACTTTGGCCACTTCTGTTGCTTTCTCCCTAGAAACCAGACCCTTCCCCTCCTCTCTTGGTCAATGACTTGATTGGCAGGAGTGTTTGGGTGGGAGGCAGGGAAATAAGGTAGAGAAAAAGCAGGCGCTGGATGGGAAGAAAACAAAACCCAACACATTCCTTTGGCCCAGAACATAGAGGCTACAAAAATCATGGGGGAGGGCGTGAGGGGGCTCTGCAGATCAGTCCAAAATCTGCAGAGCTGTGTGTGTGGAGAGGGGTGTGCAGTGACATTCTCCTATGTCCCTGGATCCCAGCTTTGCCAGCCCTGTGGGCCACTGAATTTCCATGGAATTTTCCGGGGGAAGGAGGGGGAAGGCAAGGGAGTGTGCTGGGGTTGGGTGGATGATGGCTCTGGGGACCCAGCTGCCTCCGGGCTTTGGTTGGATTGCCAGGGGCCATTGTTTCCCATGATTGCTTAGCCCTTGTCCCGAGGCAATTGAGAGGACATTGGGAGATGCATGCAGAGAGCTCTCAGTATGATAATGATGATCGTGATAACCACAGCAGAGTTCCGATGTTCTAGAGTGTTCACCATGAGCCCGGCACTTGCTGAACACCTGATGTGTACCCTGTGCAGTGGGCACAGAAGAGGTGACAAAGGCCAACAATGAAAACAGCCCCTCCAACCACCGAGTGGATGAGCTGGACTTTGAATCAAAGCTGTCGGATTGTAAAAGCTCCCTTCATACTCTCTGAGCACGGCTGCTTCCACCGGCGGGCAGATCCCTCCCTCCTGTGACCTCACACGCTCTGCCATCTGGCTCTGCGTGTCTTTGAAGGAAAGGACAGCGCCACCAGGAAGGCGGGGCCCACCCCTCGGAGTGTCGCACGACCTGAGGCTTGGCTCGGTGGTGTGGTTTGAACAGGATGGAGCTGCGCCAACTCACGCAGATGTTTAAAACCCAAATCTGATGTTAATGGCTAATGGGTTAAAGCTGGTGGTTAATGGATTAAAAGTGGAGACTTGATCCAATTATGGTGTCTGGAAGGTGGGTCTGGAGTTTAGGTGTTTAGGTGCCTAGGGCATGCCTGTAGAAGGTGGTTCTTGCGAGAGGGTTGGTCATATAAGTTGAGTTTGGTCTACGTGTTCTCTCCACGCTTCCTGGCCACCCCGTGATCCTCCCCTGGCACGTGCTCTGCCCTCAGCAGATGCCAGGCTAATGGGCCCCAACCTTGGACTGTGAAGTCCAAAACCACAAGTTGAAATAAATCTCCTTCCTCCCAAGAAGCCCCCACCAGGCACTTTGTGATGAAGAGCTGACTAATGTGGCCAGGCAGTTTCTTGAAACTTGGACATGTGCATCAGGAGTGGGAGGAGGCCCCAGCCCCTCCCCTACCTCATCCCTAGTGGACAATTTCTGGGGGGCCATGGCAAACTGTCACTCAGGACTCTTCCATATCTTCCAGAGACATAAGAGAATGCCACTGCACCCCACCCCACACACAGCTCCCTGCAGGTTCTAGACTGATATTGTTACCGGAAAATGGCAGGGTTCTTGTCTTCATGCAAGAAAGAATTCAGGCGTGAGACAGAGTAGTGGAAAAGTAAAATAGCAAAGTTTATTAGGGCAGGGACATCCGTAAGAATGGATGGGCACCTCTCCAGACAGAGCCTGAGGGAGAGTGCCCAGTCGCTCGGACTTGGGGGGGGAGGAGGAGGAGCGAGGTTACATGGTAGAGTGGAGAGATTACACATGGGCAGGCAGGCGGGTGGCTCAGCAGAGAGGCAGAGGGCTGAGTGCGCAGTCCTGTTGAAGCCGGGGTGGGGTTTTAAGGAGATGGGTCTTTGTCTTCACACATCTCCTCCTAAAACAAAGGATTTTATGGATGTAGATATTAAGAAGCTCTTATCTGAGTTTTCCCCTGAAGGTATCAGACAGGAGGAAGCCTAGCTGGTGCCGTCCTGAGTTTAGAGGAAGGGTGAGCAGACCCCCTGGAGGATCCGGATTTGGACCAGGGTATTTGAAATGCAGATGCTGGGCTGCATCTGGAAGGTTATCAGGCAGAAGGGGCGGGGACCCCCACCTGGCAGGTTATTGGGTAGGAGGGAGCAGGGCAGGATGTGAATACTGGGCTGCCCCTGAAATGTTATCGGGATGACTTTGAGATGCATATGCTGGACATAGACGTCTTTTCTTTAGGCCTTCGTCACACACACATAAACTTATATCTGACTTCCTACCTAACAATATGGCAGAGGTGGCACATCCTCTGGGAGGCACCTGACATCCATTCCCTACCTCCTCTGCTCTGGCTGGGACTTCCTGTCCTTTGACAAAGCTACCGCCCAGCCCAGGAAGTAAACACCGTTCCAGTCCTACAATGGTTCCACCCATGCAGGCAGGGTGTTCGGTGGAAGAGAACTCTGAGATAGATGAGGGCAGAGCCTGGTCTTTGGTCCTCGTAGCTCAACTCACGAGATGTGGACACAACAGGAAACCTTCTCTGTCCAAGCCCTAAGTCCCAGGGCAGCGGCTTCTCTTCTCTAAAAAGGAAGCTACTCTGAAGAATCCCCACTTTGTACACCTTTGCAGTGGCGAGAGCGTTGGAGTTGGACTCCAAGAACCTGGAGGGATACGTTCCAGCTCTCCCACTTACTTGGCTATGTGGTCTTGGGCAAGGCAACCTACCTGTTCCTTCGTATGTAAGATGGGTGTGTCTATCCCACGTGCAGTTGCGAGATTAAAGAGTGACGCGTGCAGGAATGCAGGGCACACTGGTTGCCGTGCCGTGACCTCAGCAAATATTGAATTTGTAGCTAAAGGGTCAGATCCTCACCTCCATGCTGCTTCACCAAACAAGGGAGCTAGGAGGGAGGAGTTTGGGTGTGTCTTCAGGTCCCAGGGAGGACAGCTGCCTATCCCCAGAAGAATTCTCCTCCAGTAGTAGGTAGTGCCCGCCTGCCCTGGTGGCCTCTGACAGCTTAGCTGTGGGCGTCGGGGCAGTTCAAGGCTATGAGGGACACACAGCCTTACCTCCCATGCATCGGTGCATCAATCACATCAGTGAATCTCCAGTCACCATGCCTGGGAGTCCTCATCCTACTGGAACTTTCCACAGCCTTGAACTGTTGAGTCCTCCCCACTTCATGAAATGGCCACGACTTTCATGACTGGGCGCTCTCCCTGCTTGCCTTCCATCACAGCCTTAAGTTCCACAATGGCGCCCCCAGGAGATGGCCCTTAGCACTCTCCTTTTCCCACGGTACATGCAAAGGCTAACCCGGGGCATATCATCCATTCCCAGGGTCTCCACCCAACACCCATGGAGCCACAGAAGCTTGCTTCCTGTCGCTAAGGCACAAGAAGTGTCACCTTTCTTTTTAAACTCGGGTGAACCTGACTTCAAACTGCCACAGCCTGGCTGGGAACCCCACTCTTCACGCTCCTCCCCAGGAGAGCCCGCTTTCTGCTCTCCAGACTGGGACAGCCTGCTTACTACTCTCTGGGCTGGGTGTTCAGCCTGCAGCCTTCAAGACACCCCTCTGAATATTGGGCAGATGAAAGGATTAGCCTCCGGAGCATGCATTTGGCTTAGCAATTAGGATATCCGCATCCCACAGCACAGTCCAGTATTGAATGAGGTTCAACATCTGGCTCTAGCTCCTGACTCCAGCTTCCTGCTAATGCAGATCCTGGGCGGCAGTGGTGATGGCTCGAGTGGTTGGACTCCTGGTACCCACTTGGGAGATCTGCGTTCAGTTTCTGGACCTGGCTGTTGTGAGCATTTGGGGAGTGAACCAGCAGATGGAAGTGCCCCTCCACCTCTCCCTCTCCCTTTCCGTCTCCCTCTCCCTCTTCCTCCCTCCCTCCCTCTCAAACAGACAACTTTTTAAAAAGACAGCAGCCCCTGAACTTGCTGTCCTCTATGCCCTCAGTCTCTGAAACCCCACTCTCCCCAGAGAAGGCTCAGGCTAATCCCTTCTCTTCAACTCCCTAAGCCTTCTCCTAGCAGATAGTTGACGCTTGTGAGCATTGCACACCTGTGATTTCTCCTTGAGATCGCCATCCCTTCCCAATGAGATCATGACAAAAATCGAGATGAGCATAGATTTCAACAATTGTGTACGTGTTTGCATGTAAACATATGGTTTCACTTCTGGGATCCATGACTATAGGCGAGATTGTTGGGCATCTGGTTGATCATATGTTCAACTTTGTAAGAAACCATCAAGCTGTTTTCAGAGCAATTTTATCATCTTTCCTACCTGCAATATAAGAGTTCCAACTGCTCCATAGCCACACTAGTACTGTTACTGTTTTTCATTTTAGCCATTCTAATAGCTGTCTGACGGTATCTCACCGAGGTTTCAATTTACATTTCTCTAATGACTAATGCTGCTGGGAATTTTTTTTAATGTTTATTTGCCTTCTGTGTATCCTCCTTGGTGAAATGTCTGTTCAGTATTTTTGATCTGCTCATTTCTTGGCTGGATGGTTGAATTTTGAGAGCTCTTTATATATTTGGAATAAAAGTCTTGATTGGGTATATGACTCCCAACTGTTTTCTCCCTGTGTGATTTCCATTTTATATTCTCTTGTGTCCTTGATAGAACAAAAATACTCAATTTGATGAAGCTCAACTTATTAATTTTCTCTTTTTGGGTTGTATTTTGGTGTTATATATAAAGACTCCTTGCCACATTCAAGCCCATAAAGATTTACTCTGGTGTTGTCTCTTAAGAATGTTATCGCTTTATGTTCACATTTGGGCCAGTGGTCTGTTTTGAATTAATTTCTTTACACTATATAGAGATCTATATAGATTAAGATTCAGTTTTATTTTCTTGAAAAAGGGTGTCCAGTTGTTCCAGCACCATTTGTTGAAAGGCTATACTCTTCCCATCCAATTGTCTTTGAATTTTGTGAAAATCAGTTGACCATCTTTGTGCTGGTATATGTCTTGACTTTCAGTTTTGTCCCTTTGATTTATAGGTCTGTCCTTTCACCAATACCATCCTGTCTGAATTACTACAACTTTACAGTATGAGCTAAAATTGGGTAGGTGACTCCTCCATATTTATTATTATGCAAATTATGTTATCTAATCTAATTCCTAAACACTCCCATATAAATTGTAGAACCAGCCTGTCCATATTTGAATATGAAACTGTTGGAACTGTTGGAACCTTTACTGGAGTTGTGCTAAATGTATAGATCAATATAGAAAGAATTAACATGTTCTAAAGATTGGGTCTGCCAATCCATGAACATTGTATGTCATTCTATTTATTTAGATCTTCTTTGATGTCATTCATCACAGTGCTGTAGTTTTCAG